GCAAGGGGTATGGAATAGAGGAAGGGATGTTGGAGGAAAAATCGGAAAGACAGAGGATTGGAAAGAGGGAAATAGTGGCTAAAAGAAGAGAAAGAGAACAAGCGGAGAGAGAGAGAGCCAGCTAGGCAGTGATGGGGCGCGGCCACAGTCAGTGCCAACAGCCAGGGAAAGGGGTGTGGAGGATCCATTAGTCGCAGGTTGGGAAAGAGAGGAGGCAGGAGAAAAGAGGGGAAAGAAGAGGAGGAAGGAAAGTACTGGGGGGGAGGGCAGGAGAGACCCTTAAAGAGACAGCAAGAGAAAATTAAGTGCTGTGGTTCATAGAGAATGACATCGCTCTAGCGTACCAAAAACTGTCACATAGAAGTGCTTTAACTAGCAACATCCAGAAAAATATAAAGGATCTGGGTAGGTACAAAGGAACAAAAAGTATATGCCGTGAATGAACAAAAGTAAAGATTTAACAAAGTATGATACATGTTAGAAAGACTAGAACCAATACAGTCAGACAGGAGATTTTGGTCAAGTGAATAGTAGGTTAGGTAAGAAATGCGTTTTTTTCAAGGGAAATCTTCAAATCAAAGATCAGGTAGAAATTATTTTGCAAAAAAAATCTTATTTTTTCTAAGAAGATAAGAACAAATGTTTATGGAGGTAACATTACATGTTATTTTTAGCTTAATAAATCTAGAGCAAAATAATACCTAAGGTTACAAACCATTAGAAATATCCAGAATAGAAATGTTGTGGACATGTATGAAGAATTAGAAATCATTTTTTAAAAAATTCAAAGTAGATAAAAAACAAAACTTTACAAAAATAAGAAATCTAACACTATCAAGGGTGAGAGAGGTACAATTCTACTCCTACTTATGTATCCTACAGCAGTGCTTTTTCAAATTGACCATAATTCCGTTAGCAAAACATGGAATCTCCCACTGGGGTGTCGATTTCAAACAAAAAAGAAAAAAGGAAGAGCGCATCACTACATACCAAGGTTTAATAAAGGTAAATACTGTATCATGAAACCGCTGTTCCAGGTTTGTGGGGGGAGGGGGTGTCTGTACATCCACACCTATTCACAATAAATTTACTGTGAGCCACAGTTACAAAAAGTCTGAAAATGACTCTAGGAAAACCGTTGCCTTTGAGCACTGGAGTTATTCGTAACATTGAAACTGAATGAGCCAAAGCTGTATGTAAGTTTTGAAAAACCCTAAAAACATAAGGTTTGACAGAAAAAGACTGTCATAGAAGAGTTCAACATTATGATGTCATTTTCAGAAAACATAATAGGCAACAATAAATAACATTACTTAGAAATACACTTTTAACTTTTTAAAGAAGGAAATGACACACACAGAACCCAAAGTACTGATTCGGTCTGAACGGAGTAGGAATGGGGGTGGATAGGAGAACCACACGGCATGTTATCACCTTGGAGAGTGGCAGTTCCTCCTTCACAGCACTTCCTCAGCAGCGACCTCCAACCGGTGCGCGATAGTGCCTGACTATTAGGAGCACTGCCTCTTTTCCCTTAGACTGTCAAGTTAAGAAACAACAGCAGCCAACACGACGACAGTCGTCCAGTGTGAATGAATCAAAATTGCACCTATTTTTTTATCAGATCGGCAAATGATGTATTTTTTGATGTACCACAGAATTTTAGTAATTAGTCTGTGTGTGCCATGAGATGAAGAAGACTGAAAATCTGTGCTTCGTAACATTTATGCTACACATATTATTATCGTGGCTGTAACTGAGTATTTTAAAAGCCGCATTCATATCACACATGAAGGGACTGGGGCACCAACCAGTGTGCTAGCAAGAAGGGCAACGAAAGGATTAGTATGATAAAGGACAGAGCTATAACAAAGGAAAAGTCATTGAGTATTTCATTCCATTTTTGTAATTTCACTTATTAACTCTAAAGCTCAATTACACATATAGATATATGCTTACCATTTTTAGATTAGACCTTGATTGTTAAGAGAAGTTGAGAAACTTGCCTAAGTTTACACAACCAAAAATTATTATAAATCAGAATTTGAACCCAGAACAATCCTGTCTCCATGATCTCCTCATCAGTTGCACAAACTGGTAACCAGGTATAAATATTTAGTCAAAACTGCTCAAAAGCACCTCAGACATCTCCTAGTCCAACCCCTTTATTTTGTAGATGGGAAATTCAAAGAGACCACGGTGTTGGCCCTAAACACCCCTGTGGCTTCAGCAGTTCTCAAGTTTTTTTGTCTTAGGACACTTTACACTCTTAAACAGTACTAAGTCCCCACAAACATCTTTTATTTATATGGGGTATATCTACACCTACTTATCATATTAGAAATTAAAACTAAAAAATATTACATAATTAAGAAATTTATAATTTATTAACAGTAAGCCATCATGTTAATAAAAATATTTGAGAAATCTGTTTTTCAAAATAACAAGAAAAGCATTATTTCACATTTTTTGCATCTCTTTAAATTATTGCTTAATAGAAGATTGTTGCCTTCTAATACATGCTTTTGTATCAGTCTAGTGGATTGCATGGTTTTGATGGAAGTACTATAGGAAACCCACCCACAAACAGACCTGCAGCTAAGGGAAGGAGAGCCTCCCACACTCCCTGAAAAGGTCTCCTGGACTCCCACGGTCTTCAGGCTACACGTTAGTTAAGGATTCCTTCTCGAAAGGTTGTATTCCCCTCACCATCCATCCTAAGGACTTGAACAGACAATTACAGCGTCTGCAAAAATACTGAATCAACATCCACTGTTCAGAAAATCTGAAAAATCTAATTTATACTGGCACTTCCCTAACCTACAGTCCCCCCAGATAAATCTGAAATCCAATCCAAATGTATATGAGGCCCAAACTCAGCCTGTTTTTCCCACGGGTGTTTATAAAGGGAAAACAGTCCTAACAGAAAAATCAGTCCAGCTTCCAGCAGCCCACTACAACGGAAACCAGAGTGTCTGGGCGTCAGCGCAAACTAAATAAAGTGAGACAAGAGGTGGCACACAGTTCCTGCAGAGTACCAAATAGTGAATATTTCAGGCTTGGGAGCCATACAGTTTCTGTTGCAAATACTCAAGATTTGTAGCATGAAAGCAGCCACAGAATATATATAAACAAACGGGAGTAGCTGTGTTTCAATGAAACTTTATTTTCAGAAACAGGTCAGGCCATATTTGGCTGGACCCTGCCTTAGTCTAAATGAGTCAGTTCAAAAATGTAGTGGCTAAGACAAAACCACTACATGTGATTTTATAAAATCACATTTTTGTCTTATTTAGCACTGAACTGTTCTCAAATATGAATTTTTAGGGTAGTATTTCCAATCTAAGCTCTCTTTTAACACCTTATGCTAGTGATGCACTTCCTCTCATTGAGGAATAAAATGGTAGGGTGAATAAATCTTAGGTATGTTCAAATACGTAAAAGTTATTCAAACACATAAAAACCATATGTTTAAGAATTGGCAATGTATTCCAATACAATGGCAAAATACTCCAGAGTAATAACTATAATAGTCAATAAAATGAAACATTTAAAGACATACCAAATTTATCATTCCAGTTCCTTCTACTCAATTTATAATATAATTGTATATTTATATTCCTTCTGAATATAGAAAGAGTTCTTAAATAAAATACCAAAAGCATAAACCATAAAAGAAAGAAATTTTACTACATTATTTGAAATATGAAATTTCCTTAGAAGACAAATGCCATAAAACTCCTGAAATGGGTAAGCCACAAACTGGCAGAAGACATTCACAAACAACATAGCTAATAAATGATTAAGCCCAAGCATATATAAAGAACTCCCACAAAACAACAAGAAAAATGCAAATTAGTATTATGGTGGTATAGCATTTAAAATATATCCAATTAGCAAACTGTTCAAACTCCAGCCATACCAAGTGATGAGATAGCATGAAGCAATGAGAACTGATACATCGGTTTGGAAAAGAATTTCAACTACCCTATAATGTTCAACATCTACATCTTAAAGTCAGTAATCCCACTTCTAGGAATATACAGACAGAGAAACTTCCAAATACATACAAAATCTATCACAAATGCTCATCCTCTGGGAAACGGGCGAAGTCGCACCACGCAACACGGCGCAAAGGAGAAAACGAACAGAGCGCTAGCGTCAATGGGAACGAATCGCAAGCGAGTGAAAACAAGAAGCGACCAAAAAATGCATTTAATATATCACTTATGTTACGTATAAACATTCAAAATAGAATTCTTCATTGTTTAGAGTTACATATATGTTGTTAAAAATATACATGAGACATAGAAATAAAAAAAAGTACCAAATCCAGGTTAGAGGAGGAAGAGGGAGGCTAGCTAGCAAGGGTAGACAAAGCAACTGGAAGAGGGCACCTGACTTCATCAACGGTGGTAAGTACACTACCGCTCAAACCTTTTTGTCTGTCTGGAATATTTCATGAAAATTTTTAAACAAAAGTTATACGTAAATAACTAACTTACAGTGGCTTTAGTTAAAAAAAAAAAAACAGACAGACTAGGAGACTCTTCCAAAGTGATTTTTTAACTGGCTGAAACACTGTCATAGGACAAACCTCAGCCACAGCTTTTGTTTCCCGAACCACTTCTCATTCGGAAGCAACTGCTCATCTTTGAATACACTGCGCCACCTTGTGTTCAAAGCTTCAAACCACTACAAATTGCGAGTATGAGACCTGAAAATGTCTCCTCAGTAATATGCTGTTTCATGAGGTTTCACTTTAAGTTTAAGCACTCATAAAAATGACATTTGAAAAAAATATGGTTTCTGAAAAAATTGGAAATACTTTATATTTCTTTTTGGTTATTTCCTGTTGTAATTGTTCATTTTGACTTTCAGAGAATAACCTGCCTTTTCCCCCTTAACTTTAAATATACAAAGTGTTCAAATGAGTAAAAGTCAAAATTACAGAACTGAAACATTTAAAATGCTAACAACACTTTCATAAAGAAACTTACCTTCGAATGCGTAATTGACAAGGTGTCTACCCACACACGCCAGCCACCCCACTCATACTTGACTGCGTGGTAAAGCAGGATTCTGAATATGGCATATACCATTTCCGTTATCTTTTGCTCATCAGAATTTTTAGGATTAAAGAAGCAGAGAGAAAGCATCCACTCTTGCCACACAGAACACTGTAGCAAGCTCCTAAAAATTACAAGAGGATACTCAATTACTTCAATCATCTGAAAGAATTCTAAAAAGTGAAAGTTCAAAACAAAATAAACAAAACACCCACCTTCATCTATGCATTCAAACAATTAACAAATGTGGTCATGAAAACTCAATTTAACTATATGGTACACTACTCACATACCCTTAATGAAAAAAGCACATGGAAAATTCATTTCACAGTGTTTTTTTAAAGCAATTTTGTTAGACAAATGGGCTTATTCAAACCTGGACCTGAATATTGTGAATAAATACTTTCTCATATGCTCACCTTCTGTTTTCTCTACTGTTATTAAAAAGTTTAATCATGTCAGAAAGAAAGGCTCTGCGCACTTCCATGCTCTCCGGGCACTGCGGAGAATTTCGAAGCAGGGTCGCAATTACTTTTAGTATCTCTGAAAGACAATTCATAAACTAGTAAAAAAACAGAACACTGCAAATATTTCATGATGGAAGATCATCAGTATATTGTAATTTGTTTCATACCTGACATAAATGTGTACTAAAGACATCCTCTTTTGTGTTATTAAAAAAAATCATCATATGCCAAAAAGAATGAAAACATATTCATTAGGAAGCATCCACAAACAAGAATTTTTTTTAATTTCACCATTAGGATGTTAAATGATGAATTTTAAAAGGTTATAATAAATCAAGTTAAATTATGAACAAATTAAATGATGGTAAAAATACTAAACTCTCCCTACTCTCTGCCAATTAATACTGCTGATCTTTTTTAAAAACACTATAATCAAAAATATCAGGAAAAAAGATTAAATTCACAACTTCAACAAAATTTATGGTATGCATCTACCCTTTTCTTTACTATCGTGAATTTAAAAAACAGTTTTTTTATCCTCACCTGAGGACAGTTTTTCATTGCTTGTAGAGAGAGGAGAAGGGCAAAAAGAGGGGAGAGAGAAAAACATGGATAAAAGGGCAGATCATCATTTGGTTGCCTCCCAGACACACCTGGACTGGGGACTGCCCGTGCCCTAGGCCCCACAACCTAGGCATGCACCCTGACTGGGAACTGAACCCGCAACCTTTTGGTTACTAGAGAATGCAACAACCAACTGAGCCACACCTGCCACGGCTCATCATGAATTTTAGAAGGTATCAAGATTTTCTTCCATACTTTTAAAAGTAAAATTAGATACCAAAATGCCCAAAGGAAATTAACTATTCAATACTATGAAATAATACAAATAAAATAACTATTATAATGGTCTTAAATATAATGCTGTCTAAATTTCTTTTAAAAAGATAACCATTTTAAATTTTTATTGAATTTATTGGAGTAACATTGGTGCCTTAACTTTCTTATTCTGAACTTTAAGAAATTCTTTAAAATATGTTCTTAAATAAACTTTAAAAAAGAAACGAGAGCTATAACTCTGAATTTAAAATACAAATTTTTACCCAATTAAAAATTTATTTTAATTATATTTTATTGATTATGCTATTACAATTGCCCCAGTCCTTCCCCTTCCCCCCCTCCACCCAGCACCCCCTACTGCCTCAGGCGATCCCCACACCACTGCTCAGATCCCTACATCATGCACATAAGCTCTTCAGCTGCTCAATTTCCTACACTGTACTTTACATCCCCATGGCTATTCTGTAACTACCAGCCTGTACTACTTAATCCCCTCACCTCCTCAGCCATTCCCCCACAGCTCCCTCCCATCTGGCAACCATCAAACACTCTCCATATCCATATTTGTGTCTCTGTTCTTGTTTGCTTAGTCTGTTTTTTTAGATTCAATTGTTGATAGATATGTATTTATTGCCATTTTATTGTTCATAGTTTTGATCTTTTTCTTAAATAAGTCCCTTTAACATTTCATATAATAATGGTTTAGTGATGATGAACTTCTTTATTCTTGCCTGGGAAGCCCTTTATCTGCCCTTCAATTAGAAATTCTCTGTGGCCAGGTAGCCCCATTAGTTAGAGCATTGTCCCAACATGCCAAGGTTGCAGGTTTGATCCCCAATCAGGACACATACAAGAATCAACCAATGAATGCAGAAACAGGTGGAAAAACAAATCTCTCTCTCTCTTCCTCCTTCCCTCTCCCCCTCCCCTCCCTCTCCTTCTCTCCCTTTCTCTCTCTCCCTAAAATCAATCAGTCAATAAAAATTTAGAAAGTCTAAGCCAACCTTTGCCAAAGTTTTTGGTGATTCTGAAGCAGTAAGTTCAAAAGAGCAAACATGTAGACCATACAATTAATGATATTTGGGGAACAATTTCTTAATTCTTCTAATGAAAATCCAAAATTTCTCTACCTGAACAATGACAATAATGGTGGTAATCATAATAATGATGATGATGATGATGATGATGATCACAGCCAGTAATTTCTAGGCTATACTGTTGTGAGGTACTGTTTCAGAAAATACAGGTGCCCTGGCTCAGGGGGCTCAGCACTGTCCTGCAAACCAAAAGGCCACCTCGGGGCACATGCCTGGGTGGCAGACAAGGTCCCCAGGTGGGGGCCTGTGAGAGGCAGCCAACTCAGTGTTTCTCATCAGTGTTTCTCTACCTCTCTTTCTCTTCAGAGAAATTACACTTCAGAGACATGTATGTGGTTCTAAAGCTAATACTGAAACAGAGTTCCACAAACACAACTCACCATACAAAAGGTAATTAAATTTCAAAACTCTACAAACCATTCATTTTAATGCAAGTAATCTTAAAAAGCAAGATGGAAAATGTACACTTTGTACAAGTTCTTTAGAATTCTAAGTTAAACTGTTAAGTACACTAAGTTCATAAACAACAAAGTAGGTAGTTTTCAATTTCAAACTCGGTGTTCTTAAATTGACAGTAATTCAAGATGGGAGCTACCCCCATGGTTCACATAATTTAGCCTGACATTACTAAACAGTGCAATGAAAACTTACTGATCGTCTGAACTTACATTAAATCAAGATCTTATGCATGTAATTCTTCAAAATCTCTATATAAACATTTCCACATAGCCTAAGGTCAATCTCAAGTTAAATTCAACATCAAACACAAATAAGACTAACACTGTATCACTACCTGTAATGAAATCTTCTTCGATGTGTTTTCAACAACATCACCCTAAGGTTTTCCACAGTGTAAGCACAAAAACGAGGGACTGGGAGCAACAGGTGCAGGTGCTGACTCCCAGGGTACGAACGTCCGGTTACTAGGTGACATTCTGAAGATGCCATATACACATGGTGACCGCAGTTAACAAAACTGGGCTGTACACTTGAAGGTTTTTAAGAGAAGAATCTTAAATGTTTCCACCACACATAGACACAAAAAATTTCAACTGTGAAGGGACAAATGGGTTAACTAACCTTATTGTGGTAAATATTTTACAATATATTCATATATTAAATCATTAGGTTAAACACCTTAACCTTACACAATATCTCAATAAAGAAAAACAAAAATTAAAAAAGTATTTAAATACATACGAGGATTCTGTATCTTTACTGAAGAATCAGGATCTGGATGCTGTTTATGGATCACTTGCGTGCAGATCTGTTCTATGAGAATCTACAGATGTAAAACAACAGACGGTATGATCATAATCACTGTACGGCCATCCCCGTTCAAGAACTTTAAGTACAATAACAATCAACATTCATTTATATAGTCCAATATTATCACAGTAAATATCCTCTGCATCCTATTAAATGATTTCAACATTTTAACTCTGTTTTTACTGATCATAATGAGACCTCAAATAGTCAATACAATGGAGGAAATACTTAAAAATACCGCTTAATAATTCATATATTAATAGATCAAGATACAGCCACATACCATTTATATGACTAATTTCAAAACTGTACTTCAAACCTGAACAATCTTATTTCATCTATATGCCATCAACTCAATTATTTAGGCATTTCCAGAAGAAATTAGTGAAATCAAATTCTAACTATTCCTACCTCAAACAGGACATTGTATGTGGTCATGGTGATTAAATTTGTGTGAAGCATGAGTCTCTCGGCTAACAGGGAGAACAATCCATGTCCAAGCATGACTTCAGCTTTTCTTCTGTGACGACATAGAAAGAATCACATGCACAGTCTTAGCAGGCACTATTTTGTATCAATGACGGAGACACAAAAATGCTTTCACATTACCAATAAATTCCAGCTCAGTAACTCTCTCACCTTTCGTTGACCTAGGACTTATAAGGCCACAAAATCTTTAAGGAGAGAAATACAAAGTACAATATAAGCACAGCTAAAATTTAAAAAGGAAAGTGTAAGACTAGCTATGCCACAATACAGCAAAAATCTTCACCAAAATCTTCAGAGCAACTACATATTAACTAGTTGCTGCTCTTCGTCAGCACTGAGCTAAGCTCTACTATGGATGATAATCTAAAGCCTAGTACGTGGTTAAAGAGAAAAACAATACAGAGAAAAAGGCAAAAGAAATATAAGAAATTAAGAAAATGAATACCATGAAAATAAATATACTAAAACTAAACTTCCAAGCAAGAATTTAGAAACTGAAGAATTATAAAATTTAATTCTACACCTGGCTTGTCACCTTTTTTTTTTTTTCAAACGTCTGGATAGTAACATTTTCGGCTTCGGAGACCATATAGTCTCTGCAGCAACAACTCAACACTGTTGCTGTCATGTGGAAACTGTGACAGATAACAACCAAGGAAGTCACTGTGCCTGTGTTAGAATAAAACTGTATTTACAGCCAGCCAGGTATTCAACAGAAATACCGCAGTTTAACATTTTTCTACCATCAAAATGGTTATTTTTCAGAATAAACCAATCCTGGTACAAGGAACAATAGGTTAAGATATGAATGTCTGCATCCAGCTAAGAGAAAGGAATGGAAGTTCTAGTTTTTAATTATACATAGAGCAGAACACATTATGGGACAAACATCCAAGTTAATATGGTAGTTTTTATAGTACAGAGAAAGGAAATGATGAACAAGTTACCTGAAATGAAGTCTCTATTGTATCCAGAATTCAATTTATACAAATGTGTCCCCATATTGAGCAAAAACAAATATAAAATTTAAATAATTTTCATTAAAAATAACATTCCTGTTCCCACTTTATCTTTAATGTGTAGAAATGAGATTAAATTTATATAGCATTTTCTGAATAAAAATAGAGAAAAGAGAGACTACCTAGTGCAAAACAAGTAAGTAATATACTACAGTTCATTTCAGATTTCATGCATACTCACTTTGGGGCCAGGTGCTTTAAAAAATAGCCCATTGCCTTGAGAGCTTGCACTCTGATTCCTTCGCTTGTTGATGCCAAAAGTTTATAGATAACGCTGAATGAATTAAAGAACAAATTACTCCAAGTGTATTATTCAAAACAAAACATTTTAAATATATGTAAATTTTTTCATAATCATATATTATAAATCTAATTTCAAGTAAGATATGGGTGAATTTAATATACACTTATAATATTTTAAAACACTTCTCCACTATAGGTTACCTTCAAAAACCCAGTTTAGTCCTGGCTGGTGTGGCTCAGTGGACTGAGTGCCGGCCTGGGAACCTAAACGTCTCCAGTTCAATTCCCAGTCAGGGTACATGCCTGGGTTGCAGGCCAAGTCCCCCACCAGGGCATGCAAGAAGCAACCGATTGATGTTTCTCTCAAACATCAATGTTTCTCTCCCTCTCTTTCTCCTTCCCTTCCTCTCTAAAAGTAAATAAAATCTTTTCAAAAAATCACTATTTAAGAAAAATCCACTTTATATATAAAGAAACATAAATTAAAAGTAAGTGATTGGAGAAAATATACCATGTTAATGCTTACCAAAAGAAAGCAAAAATAGCTATATTAATTTCAGACACAGAAGGCTTCAAAATCAGTAAAGTTATCAAGGATAAGGAAGGGAATTAAGTAATGATGAAGGTGGCAATTATCCAAGAAGAAATAATAATCCTTAACATGTGTGTGCCTAACAATAAAGTGTAAGAGTATGTGAGGAGAAGTAGGTGAATTCACTATCATAGTTAGAGACTTCAAGATCTGTTTCTCAGAAATGGACAGGCCCCAGCATGCAGAAAACCAGTAAGGACATCGGTGAATTCAACAATTCAATCAATTGGATGTAATTGCTACCTATAGACTACTTCATACAACAGCAGAATGTACATTTTTCTCAAGCTCACATGGAACATTCACCAAGTAGACCACATTTGGGGCCAGAAAACACACCTAAACAAATGTAAAGACTAGAAATTATATACCATTTGCTCTCAGACCACAGTAGAATTAAACTAGAAGTCAGTAACAAAAAGATAGCTGCAAAATTCCAAAATACCTCGAGTCTAAACAACACACTTCTAAATAAAATGTAAGTCAAAGAAGAAATCTCAAGAAATATTAAAATTATTTTCAACTAAATTAAAACAAAAACATAACTTATGAAAGTCCACACAGCAAATGCTAGGCTTTACAGGAAAACTTCTAGCACTGAAAGCACATACTAGAAAGGAAGAACTTAAATCAGTAATCCACCCTAGGAAACTAGAAAATGTGGGTAAAACTGAATCCAAAGTAAGTAGAAGTAAGTAAGTAATAAGTAATAGACTACAAATCAACAAAACTGAAAACAGTAAATCAATATAGAGAAAATCAACAACACCAAAAGGTGGTTCTTTAAAACAATAATATAATCAATAATAAGCTTCCAGTCAGCTTAAGAAAAAAAGACAGAGGACAGAATTCATTAACATCAGAAATGAAAGAGGAGCTATCACTACAGATCCCATGGACACACAAAGGATAATTTAAAAACACTACGAATAACTCTGTGCCCACAAATTCTGTATTCTAGATGAGAGGCCAATTCCTTGAAACACGCAATCTGCCAAAACTCACAGAAGAAAAAAGAGATGCTCTGAATAGGCTTCTATCTACCAAAGCTATTGAATAAATAATAAGTAATGGTCCAAAATGGAAAGAACCAAGCCAGACGGATTCAGTGGTAAATTCTACCACACATTTAAGAAAGAACTTAAACCGATTCTCTACAATACCCTTCACAGAACAGACACAGAAGAAATACTTCCTGACCCATTCCATGAGACGCCATTACCAGAAAAAGGCATTGCAGGAAAACTACAGACCAGTATCAAAAGATGAAAAAATCCTCAAAAAATATTCAAATCTAAAAAAAAAGTATTAAAAGAATTATATTCCATGTCTAAGTGATATTTATTACCCCAGGTATGCAAGGCTAGGTCAACATTTGAAAATCAATTAATGTAATCCATTACGTGAACAGAGAAGAAACATTACTGATCCTAGCAGTAGATGTAGAAGAACCACGTGCTAAAATCCTATACCCATTCATGTTAAAAACGCTACACTAGAAATACAGGGAACTTAATAGACTTATCTACAAAAAAACCTACAGATAACATACACTTAAAGGGGAGAAACTTGAAACTTTCCCAGTTAAGATCAGGTACCAGACAAGGGTGCCCCCCTCCCGCTATTCCTCTCCAACATCACACTAGAAATTCTTGCTGATGCAGTAAGGCAAGAAAAGGGAAAAAACAGTATACAGAGTGAAAAGAAACACATAAAAGTTTGTTCACAAATGGCATAACCTCCTATGGAGAAAATCTAGAGCTAAGCAACAAAAACCCTGGAACTGAAAAGTGATTACAGCAAGGTTGTAGAAGGTGACAGTCAATTGCTTCCCTATGTACCAACAATAAACAAGTGTACTGTGAAATTAAAAGCATAACAGCATTTACACTAGCACCCAAAAGATGAAATGCTTAGGTACTCATTGGTATTTACCCAAAGGAGCTGAAAACTTACATCTGCACAGGCACATTTTAAGCAGCTTTATATACAACTGTCAAAACTTGCAAGCAACCCACCTCGGCACTTCCCTCTCAGGTTTATTGTGAATATAAAACTGCTCTAAAAAGTATATTACAAAAAAACTCTTCTGTCTCCCGCTAGCTATTGTTCCTTTTACTAAAACCAAGAAATGAGAATAATTTGGAATATTGAGAAACTATGGCAACTTTTCCATGCATGTACATATGCAAATTGAAAAGCATAAAGCTGGCTCTGAGAGAATTACAGGCGTACTAGTGGTCTTTGGAGATTACCAACATTTTTTACATCAATACAAATAAATCATTGTTTAATGGTAGCACATATTTATATTTGTGAAGTATCATGATCATGAAAAGAAAACAGGAAAATGAATGACAATAACAATGAATGATAATAAAAAATAAAATACATTTAACAAAAGTAAAAAGATTTAAAAGACAAATGAATGTGAAAGTAAATTTCATATTCAAGTCTCAAAAATTACAAGGTAATCTAACTCTTTAAAAAAATCTGAGATCATTCAGCCAGAATCTATGGATTTCAATATAGCAAAGTGTAACAAAATTTGAGTATAATACCAAATTTGAGGATAAGCAAAGTTCAATAAATTCATTATAGCCTTTCCTTCCTCATAGACACTTAGAAAAAAATCAGAAACATGATTATCTTAAAATGCTAAGACTTCAAATATGCTTCTATGTAAAAATTCCAATGTTTAGTAACTAAGTTTAAAAAAAGATCCAGTAATACTTTGCATATCTAAGACTCTATCATCTTCCAACGAATCACTGATACTAAACATGTGGAAAGTCTTGATACACTGAACTCTTACCGTAACCCATTCCTTTGGTCAAAAGCAGGTATCATAGAGTTAGGATGCTCTGACATTAACGCAACAAGCAGCTGTAGGACATCCATTAGATTGTCATCCTAAAATCATTGCAGAAAAAATTTTAAAAATAGAAAAAAATAACTTATTTGAACACTGAATACTTCTAAAACAGAAATTTCAACTGCAAAAAATAAGTAGACATATATAATATATACTTGTTTTAACAAATTGGTTCTTTACATATATGTGTTCATTTGTACAACTGAAAGTACACAAAACCAAATAGTCAAATAATTTCTCAATAATGAAATAAAATGCCTCTTATACCACAGGTGGCAAACATAAAGCCCGTGGGCCATATCCAGCCCTCCACCTTGTTTTATCCGGCCTGGCACCTTATTTCTACCCAGCGGCAGTGCCAAGCTCCTTGCCCCTGGTTAACGAGTAGTTAAATTTATGCAGTCCTAAAATTACATTCAGCCCTTTGAAGGCAACTGCGAGGCTGATGTGCCCCTGGTGACAATGCATATGACACCCCTGTCTTCCACCATATCAAGATTTCCTAAAACATATTCTATAGATATTAACCTGACTTAACAGGATTTTTTTTAAAGGAAGATTTATACACCAAGAAATTGGGGAACTACGTTGTTGTTTTCATTACAGCAAGAAGGCAGAGCCTTCATCAGATAACAGATGCAGTGACTCTGGCAGCAGTGCGGGGGGCAACACATGATGTACCACACCCTAAAACTGACCCAAACCGCTTTGCTCACTGAACCTCTCAGGAAACTACTTCCAAAAGACGGCTTTTGGGCAAATGGTGACTGGATGGTTCTCACATATTATCTACTTTCAGCATTCAAGATATAGATATCAATGAATGCTCACTGAGTTACACTACTATGTGATGTGTAACTTGCTAACTTACAGAATAGCATAGGATCATGTATGAATTCTGAAGTTTAAAAAAATTCAAGGAAATTCTTCACAACTGTTGCTGAGTATTTCAGTATGCACGCACATCACCAGGGCCAACTTGGGCAACACTGACCACAAAGGTAAGGGAAGCAGCAGTTGGCTATCTCTGCTGCCCTGCGTCTAGGTTCCATTCACTGCTTTTGAACTTTCACGTCTGGCAGCCACTCGAGGACCTGATCCTCCACATGCTAACTCCCTCATCCACAGCTGGGGCACTGAGACTTTGGAAAAGTGTCATCTGAAGGAACGGAAAGATCCCTGAATAGATTCACAGACAAGACAAGGTCACTGTGACTCCCAGTTTCTCTTTTATGAATTACTTTTGTCCCTTAAGGTTAATAAAAATCAAAATCACATATAACAACAGATTATGAGGAAGTGCAACTGAAAATCTTCAACTGTCAGACTGGATCAAGAAAATCTAAAAACAGAATGCTCCACTCAAGAGTAAAATGAAATCACAATCATCAATGTCTGAGCCAAATATAATCCCATGAAGACATTTAATCTATTCTTTTCTGCCCCAATTAACAAAGACGGGTCCCAACAATCTCTCTCATTTATTAATGATTAAAGAAGGCATTATTTCATGTTGCAACAGATACTTATTAACTAACAAAACATGAATTAAACATAAGAAGGTAAACTATTGAAAATGTGTGTTTTATATGAAATTCCAATTTCCAAAATTTACTTATTTAAAATGCATTTAATTAAATTATTTGGTTAGACTGTATCTTGCATATATTATGTTTCTCCAGTACTAAAAAGTAAAGGAAAAACCCATATGTATAAACCTGCTCTTCAAGCACATAATTTGAAGCCCCATTACAATGAGTTGTTTCGCTGAACAGTCATGCAAAATCAACAGGAAGACTGTGTCTTGCGAATTTTTAAATCCAATTTCTTTCAGTCATTTTGGGGACCTGTTTTTCCATTTGTTACACTGGTTCCTGGAAATACACTAAAAGTATTATTTGATACACTTCATAGTTAGTTTAGTTAAGGTCTAATGTTAACACTTTTAAAGACTTTCACGATATTTCTCTGAGCCCTCTTGTGTTAATAAAGAATATTTATATGAAGGTTGCTAACATTTAGTTCCAAGATACATCTGTCCCCCATTATAGGTGTACCATTAATGAAAGACAACTTTTTCACTTAAAAATAAAGCCTATAATACAGCCTGAAGAAAAAAGAAATCCTGAAACATAAAACTGAAATGTTACCTCATGCATAGTGAGCAGGTAGTTAAGAATGGCCTGTAGTTCATCTTCCTTCACTCCAGAATCCTTTAAAAACATGAGCAAGTATTTTAAATTCGCATATTAAAAAACTCTTTAATGGAAATTATACACATAAGCTTTTTGTCAACATGGTCAGATGCCATAATTGTATACAAAAAGATAATGTAATATAGAAACTAAATTTAAAATAAAAGCTGAAGGACACACTAAAGACACACAGTTTTCAAGAAGGCAGAAGTCAAAAGGGGTCTGATACCAGTATCCTGGTTTTGGTACCTTATATAATATGATAACCTATCTAATAAAGCTACCGAATTCTGAAGTGAGCAAGCCAAAAATAGTAATTAATGATAAAGAGTATTATCCATACCCATCACTCCTCTAAATAGGGAAGATAGCTTTTCTATTAATCTTTTCTATTAAATTTAGAAAGTAAAATAACGTTTCTAAAATTACCAAGTTAAAATGTTAAGCATTAAAAATTAAGAAGTAATTTTACTGGGAAAAAGAGTGGATTTCTAAATGAATGCAGCATGAAATTTTCAACCTACTCTATCAATTATTAACCATAAAACAAAGGTGTACTCTCAAAAATGAACAATAATTAAGAAATAAACAAAAAACACACAATAATAAAGTCAATTTAAAAGATAAATCTTTAAATAAATGAAATCTGAGTCTGCAATATACACTAAAAGTTAAATCAACTTACTGTAACATTATGTAACAGCTAATAAAGCATTAAATTGTAAAGAATAAGAAATAAAATGTTATAAAAATACTGAATAAGCCCTGGCTGGTGCAGCTCAGTGAACTTAGCACCAGACAGAGAACCACAGGGTCACCAGTTAGATTCCCAGTCAGGGCATGAGTCTATGTTGTGGGCCAGGCCTCCAGCGGGGGGTGTTTGAGAGGCAAGCACGCATTGATGTTTCTCTCCCTCCCTTCCCCTCTCTAAAAATAAATAAAATCTTTAAAAAATACTGAAGAAAACATTGGCAACAAATACATTTATGTATTGCCATCTTATAATATAAACAAAACACCTTCCTTAAAAACAATATTGAATTTAACTCTCTCTATAGTACAATGAAATTAGACAAACCATAGTCATTTCTAAAGGCTGACACACCTATCTGGTATATTTATACAGGAAAATTATTCCTCCAAACATGAATGTCAAGTATAAGGGGTTCCCTAAACTAAAACCTCCTTGAGCAGCTTTGCTGACTGCTGCATCAAGCAGTGCCAGGTACAGAACAGAAACAGCAAATACCTGCTTAATGAAAGAATGAGCACACCTGAACTGCTACAGACTTTCATATAACACCTATCACAATTAACAAAGAACAAACATGATAATGTGTATCTTTCAAAGTATTTTCCAATGTGTAACCCTGGGTAACAAAGCAAATAAACCAAGATTGTATTTTATCTGAAATTACAAGTTACAATACACACATGCTTTAGGATAATAGAGATGAACTCACCCTCATCACTAATTGCTTAATGAACATCAATAAGAATGCTCTTAGAGAAAGTATTTCTTTTTGAGTAGGTCGTGGTCCATCTTTAAAAAAAAAATACATATATATACACATACTTAGTATTTCAAAGACCACAAAGCTAAGTATAAAATTTGCATTCCCAATAGTTTTTCCACTTATTTATAAGAATATAAAGGTCAGTATCCTTAAGAGCCTTATGCTCTAGAAAGACCAGCATTCAGTCGCAGACACAATTGTATACATAATGCTCCAGTGACACAAAATCAGCTCTGCTCAAACTGCCCTAAAGAAGTCTTTAAATAATATCAAAGGAATTTCAAAACATAAAAGTGAGGTAGCAAAATCCATATTCAATAACAATAGGCACTTAAATTTTATTTTAAAAGATTCTCAGAATGATACTATGGCAACATAAGTTTATCAGAAAAAGAAAAATCTAAACTTTCTATGTGAGTTTAGTAGGAAAAAAACCTTTTTCTCTACTGTTACCATTGTTGTAAGCTAATCCAAAAATCTCAAAAGCACAACTCAACACAGTATCACTCATGAAGAAGTGAAACATTATGTTGACTACCTCTGACTTCTCTTCTTGAGCAAGTCCTTGGTCACACATGGCTCACATTAAAGTCAATTTTCATGTCTCAAACATATAATTCCCAGAAAGCTTTGAAACCAAACACCCATTGTTCTAAGATCCTAAGTGAGTACCTGTTTTCTGCAATTTTTCCCCCAGTAATCATTATTTACAACTAGTTCCTAGACCACCAAAGCATAAGACCACCATGACCTTGAACAGATCAATTAAAAGCGCAAGAAAATTGTTTAAAATCTGTTCCACATGACAATTCCTAGACAAAGAATAGGTTACAGAGTCACAATAGAATCATAAAGTTGGTCCATCTCTCTCACTTGAAGTCTAAGACTTTCCCAATGTCACTGATCTATTACAAAATCAAGGCCGGAATAAAACACCAATGCCCAGGGCAGTACGTGACACACCGACAGCACCATGAAACAGTCGTCAGGAAATTATTACCTCGTTCTAGATCCACCACAACCTTGCCAGCTCAGAGATCGTATTACTTGTATGTGTCCTCACAGCTTTCTAAACTGTAGACAGTACACTCTCTGAGAATAAATCAAGCTTATTTTGAAAAGGATAAAAAAAGTACTGTATAAATATGAAACCTTATCTTTCTATATCACTGAACAGCCCAAGCCTTTGAGTACAAACAGAATGGATGTTGTCTGACTCTCCAGCCTCCGGTTCCCAATTTGAAGCAATGGCCCTCAGTTTTTATCAAGCGACCGAGCCCATCCTCACCCTCAGATCGTGGGTTCCGGAGGTGGGAAGGGCCTCGGTGCCTGGGCAGGCTGACAAACACCTGCCACCCAGATGGGCACACAATGCAATCAGAGCCAATGAGCAACAAAAACACTAAAAGAGACTTTTTCTGGAAATGCTCAATACAGGCAGATGGTCTTGTGCTGGATTCGAAGTTGTGAAAATGTGAAGGTGAAGTGGCCGCTTGGTATTACAAAGGGAGAGAATACATGAAAAAGCCCACAGAGAAGAGCTGGAGATGAAAAGAGACAAATTGTTGCCAAGGGCCATATTCTGAGCCCCGCACCAAGTTTTACTGAAACGGCCAGATTCCACAAACTGACTAACTCTTTATGATGTAAGGCGGTTTGAAGCAGGTTTTGCAATACTTACAATCAAAAGAGCTACCAATTGCCAAAATTTTTATTTTGACCCCTTCCATGAACTCCTGACATTACGAATGAACATTATACTACAAGTCATTTAGTTTCCTGATTACACAGGAAAATAATTACTGAAGTGTTGTGATTTCATTATACTATTTATTAGAAGCAGATATTCCCTACTTCTGCGAGAAACCTCCATCTCCCCCAAAACACTGTTTTCAATGATCTCACTGTGACAACTGGCACCAGCAGCAACGCCAGTTGCTATGTAGACTTCCTTCTCGTTTTCAGTGACTTAAAACAATCATTCTGGTCATAGCTGCTCTCAAAACAACTCATACCAGCAAAAGTAGCATTTTTTAAATAAAAATAACAAGTTATTAACCTCTGGTGATCACAATTTAGGACAAACATCAATGTAATAGATTAAAAGAAAACTTTGCCATGATGAAATTTACAAAAACTTCCATTATACTGTAACAGTATTGGTTAAAAAAAAGAAAAGAAAGAAAATCCTAACTCGCCATACATATAACATAATATACTGACACAGGAAACATACCTAGTCCTTTCGGGGTGATGCCACTGCGATCCTGAGGATTCACCGCCCAGTAATAGTACTTCAGGGTGTGCATGATGAGAAGCACCGTTCCGACTCTCCGGATGGTATTGTATATGTTGACAGTCCCGATGAATTCAGTGGACAGGTAAGTATACAGTGTCAACTGAACCTAGAGAATCCAAATGAGGAGCTTAAATCACAGGAGCAGACCAGCATTGTACCCAACTCTAGTAATACCCTCAGGCTGCTTTACCTGAATTGTATTTCTTCCAAAAAGTAAGGTGCTGAGCTTGGTAAAAACTTCCATGTTAATAAGTAACACATATGAACTGAAACCCACACAAAAACACACTCCTTATAAAATAAAATCAGGCAAAGTCTTCTTTTACAGTAGCATTATAAAATAAATATGCCTAAGTATATCAAATTTTTGCAGCACTAGTATGCTGTGGGAAAAACTGTTTGATTCTTATTCAGCAATCAGTAACTACTCATGAACGTGTAACTTTATAAAATTACTAATGCTATGTGTGGTGGTTTTAGAAATTTTTCTTGTTTTGGAGAAAATTAGAACCTAGGAAAACCTAAAAAAAAAGTAAAGTGGCGGTAGCTGGAAAAAAAAGTAAAATTAAGTCAAAAGAAACAAACCCATACAGAAACATGGAAAGCCTACCATAAGAAATATTTACTGTAAAAAATACAAGTCTATTATAATTGTTCATTACTATAAAGATTGTAAGCATAACATTATAGTCTATAAGCATGTTTATCATCCCTCTCCTCCAATTAAGGATTCTATAACCTTAATTTCTAAGTAAATAATCTAAATAAACACACTAGAACTTATTAACTTCAAGATAGAAGCTCTTACTATGCGAGACAAAGAATATTAAGTGGTGCCCCACCACCACACGTTTCCTCTGAACACAAAAGTTCAACCAAATTATGGCTCTAAAATTCACCAAAAACTGTACTATTTGTAACAGAACAACATAAAGAGTGCTTTTGGTCTACTCTAGCGATTTTCAACCTTTTTCATCTCATGGCACACATAAACTAATTACTAAAGTTCTGTGGCACGCTAAAAAAATGTATCCCATTTTTTGCAGACCTGGCAAAAAAAAATAGGTATAATTTTGGTTCATTCACATAAGATAGCTATTGTTGTGTTGGCTGTTGTCATTTTTTTAATTTAACAGTCAAAGGGAAAAGAGGTCAGTGACCCTAACTAAACGGTCAGGTACTGCATACTTTAAAAGTCTTGTGGCACACTGGTTGAAAATCCCTGCTCTACTTTAATGTCAAAATCAAGAATTTTTCATTTCATGGGTAGTGGACATACTTTATAAAGTGAACAACTTTAAAAGTAGAGCATATATACTCCTGTGGCCAAAGGCCAAACTATTCCTGATCATTTACAACTGAGTATTTATGTTACCTTCCCTGGACATGGAGGACATCTTCATTTTTAACCCTGCAAAATACCTGGTGATTTCTTTAGGGAGCGAAAATTAAGTGCCTATCCTCCAGTTGCTTGAAAAATAAACAATCAGGGCTAAATAACCTAGGGAGTCAATCACTAACCGTAAATGGTGAAGAATGGTAGATTCTGAACCACTTAAAATGGAGGCTTAGAAGATGATTATAGTTTAGAAAACTACATATATACACACTGTAATCCAACGACTTGCTGAAGAGAACAGTATTTTGACGTAGCTACTGCTGTTCAAATGAATAGGCCCAGTTTCCTTTTGATTTAGGTTGTTTAACACTTTACGTGCCACAGTTCAAATTCTTAACCATGCTATTTCAGTTGTCCAGAAAATACTTACATCCACCTCCATATACAGCCCCCTATTACAGAAATACAGTGGTATACACACTGTCCCTCAGTAGCTGAAAGCCAATTAAGAGTTTAAAAAATACACACACATTTAAGTGAAAAAACTAAAACTGATAAAGATAGCTACTGAAGTAAGTTTATGAGGTAATATGCAATTAATTGCAAAATGAGTGGCATAGAATTATTAAATACTATGAATTCAGAGGCTAGAGAAACTATTATAGGATAAGCTAAAATAGGGAAATCCTCACTAATAGCATAAGTATTAAGGTAGGCTTTGACGCTGAGTAGTAGGATAGGTAGACCGAACAAAAGGGGAAATTTCAAACAGAAATAATGGTACAAAAGGTTTCCCTAGATCTAGAACAATGATCCTCATTCCTGACTGTGCATTCAAATACCTGAAAAGCATTTTTAAAAACACTGATGTCTGGTGCTCGCTTCAGTAGCATGTACACTAAAAACACTGATGCCTAGGCTCTGTCCCCACCAATTAAATCAGAATCTAGGGTGGAGGGGATGGGTTCTGTTCTTGGTTTTGATTTTTAAAACCTCTCTTGATTCTATCAACAGCCAAGGTTGAGAACCACTGCTCTGGAATAACCTTTTGGTACCTGCCTAGCCTTTAAAGATAACTGAGTTTTTGACTGAGAAAGCCTACAAAGGAGAATTGGCATGAAAGCTTAACGCTAGAAAAGGGATTACTTTATACTGAAAACAGTGGAAAACCATTACGAGTTTAAAGGCTCAGAAATGATCTGATGAGAGTAATATGTTAAAAACGTATAGTAATTCTGGCCAAAAAGTGATAAAAATATGGAAAACTGGATAGGAATTAATAGCAACATATTGAGATAAGAATGGAGACCTCAAGATTATTCATGCACTAATTATGAATAAACCTTTCCTCACTCACGCATTATATGATCTAATAACCACACAAGTTACGTGTTGACAACTGTCTTTCCCATTAGACTGAAATGCTAGGAAGGCAGGCCTTAAATCTTTCTTGTTCACCACTGATTCCATATGCCTGGCAGGAAGCGGCCGCTCAAATGAAGGACTACCGCCCACCAGACAACCCACCTCTCTCGTGAAGTCACCAAAAAGGCTGTACCTGCGCAGATCCACAATACATGGATATTCTCAATCACTGTGAGCACCCTTTTCCAAAAGCAGAGTTTGATTCATACATCCATATCCTCAACTTTGGTAAACAGAGGGGAATTTACCAAAAACTAATGAAGCTCAAACTTTATGCCCACTCATCCATACAGGTCCCTCAAGACCCTAACCCTAATTTTGTATGCATTCTGTCATATTCTTTTTCTTAAAAAGCTCCTCCCTCCCAAAATTGCATGATCTTCAAATCAAACCAATGTTGGATCTGCCTTTTGTTATTAACTACCTTTTAATAAAATAAAAATAGATATAACTCCTCATAGATATACAAAGCAGACAGTTAAAATAGAAGGAAAGTTTAATATTCCTAAGTCAACTGCAAATTCTTAAGAGGAAATTAAAGAAAATTATTAACAAGGAAATGGTAAGAAAATGAGTGTAATAATACCAGGAACTAAAGGAAATTATATAATAAAATTTTAAAAACATTTCCCTACAACTAAGTATTAATAAGACCACATCAAAAGAGACCCCAAGCCTTACAAATATGCTGTTTAGTAAGACAAAGAAGTATCTAGTAAGAGGTTTAAAAAGTAACTTGAAACAACCCTTGAAAAGAAATAAGACTGAGGGTCATAGAAGAGAAAGAGGTCAAATTTGAACCTGCAGATAAAAAGCTACAACCTCCAGCTGTCTCCTTTGATTATTTCCAAATGGCAATCAGAGTCAGCAGCTGTTTTTCTCTTTAACATTTGAAAAGGCCAGCTGAAAATAAGATACTCTGACTCTAGAAACACAAAAAGTCTGTAGACATTTTTTTCTGACAACTAGAATAAGTATGTGCTATTCCAAACATGAGAAACATGGCAAGTGGACCAAAGGGAGGGAGGGAGGGAGAGCAGAGAGGAAATTAATGGGTTTGAAGTAATACAACTTCTAATAAAACTGCAGATAATACAGATGTGATTATGTAATTTAATAAAAATTTTTTTCAAGTTCTCCTTAACAATACCACTATTAATATGTTTAGGGCAATTTAATACATTAGGTTTTATCAAAGGTTTTATTTATATACTTTATCATAAATACACAAACATTCACTTAGAAGTAACTGGTTTACTGTTACAGTACTAAATGAATTGTGTACAAATATAATTCTATTTAATAGTTTGAATTAATGTGAAATTAAAATGATTAAATGAGAGCAGTGTATCATGGAAGTCTTCGAGAAAGGGTAACATTTCAGCTGTTCTTAGGAATTAAACTCAGGAATTCACCATGTTGGTGGAAGGTATATGCTTGTAAAGAGGGAAAGAGTTCAGTGAGTTAAGGAATGAAAACATTCACACATATATGTGTATTTTTGACAGAACAGAACTACAGTTACAGAAACATTCCACTTACACTGGAACCGTCCAACTTCGATTCATATTTAGTAAATCAAAGTCTCTCTGAAATAAAATTGTATTTCATTTAACAGCAGAAAATACAGACTATAGCACTTTTTAAAAAAACAGTTATACTGCTTTACAAAAAGAGAAACAAAAGACTTGCAAATTTACCTAAAAAATATGCTTAGCCAAAAAATGTGATGTGCTGAAATCTTACATAATAGCACACAAAAGGATAAAAAAATCCTCAAATTATCACTCAAGAACAAAAACTGGAAGACACTAAAACAAAATCGATATTCATATTACCTTGGCTGGGGTATGGATCCATATGGCTGGGTTAAGAAGAATGTGATCACACAACTGCTTGAGCAGGGGCAGCCCATTGTGCAGGTTACTCAGATATTTTGAAAACGCAAGGCAAAGTTCAAGCACTGCTCTGCTGACGTGGGACTTGGAAGACTGCAAAGAAAGGTATTTCAGAGGTCACTGACATCACTAAGCAGGGTAAGTAAATGAAAGGTTGTCAGTATCAGAAAAATGTTGGCCCACAGGCTATGCTCAAAGTTAAAGATGCCAAAAGACTTAACCACTTTCCTCTAATAAAGCAATGGGGGCAAGATAAAACAACAGAAGGTTATTTTAATTTAGGTGATTTTACATCACCAAGGAGACACTTACAGACAATTTCTCAGCCACTTAGGAGATCAAGTCCATGGCCTGAAAATTGAGAATCAAACATGTAAAACGCATTTCATACTTTACCTTTTCAAGACTATATCCTATTACCAAAAAGCCCTTGCAGGCAAGCATCTGCTCCTGCATGGCAATTGAATTCTTCAACAACTCCATGATAAAAGCCAGCAAAGTTGAACTGGAATAAGAAAAAAAAAAAAAAAGACTATGGTTTAAAAAAAAAAAAGTATGTCATTAAAAAAAAAGTAAGACAGATGAAGTCTATCATTTATCCTAATAAAAGTTCTCCATTTCAAGGAGGTTGAAGTTCTGTTAAAACTGCCTCAGCAGTATTCCACCCTAGAATTTTATTGTAAGATTAGAATTTACTTCCTGGGCTTTATCACAAACATGTTAGTAAGTGAATTACTTACAAACATTATTACAAACATGCACAAATAGAGAAAACTAGGCAATAACCAAAAACAAGTAGTAAAATGGTTAACATAAATATATAAAGGCTTTAAAGAACGATCGAACTTGGATCAGCCAGCGTATTCAACTGTGAAGGATAAGCGGCCGAACAGAGGAAAAAGATAAGTGGAGCAAAGAGACTGAGCGAGAATCCTAAAAATGCGTTAGGGCTCCAACTGGCCTACTTTGAAGGGAGCAAAGGGTTCATAAAGGGGAAGATAAGAAAGTGAAGTTGAAGATAAAGTGAAATCCTCAAACACTAAGTTAAGAATCGTGTTCATTATCCCAATAGGAAAATCAGAATTCAATAGTCGGTCAAGAAGACCCTTAGAAGGGAATGGCCATGCTTCCATCCTCACAACTCTGACTAGAGATACCGGAAATGGAATGAAATAGGTCAGCTGTCACCTCCTTCTCAAAGGCTCTGAGAGTTAGTTTCCCACAAAGAAAGAGAAAACATGACTTGGTAGTCAAACCTGCCTTTAACTATCAGTAATTCTAATAAAGATGTAGAAAAGTTAAAAAAATAGTAACCAAGGAAAAAAAAGAACTAAGCCGTGTAAAAAAGATTTCAGACCAAGATGCAAAGAAAAATTCATGAAGTCAGTTATGTGTGTCAAGGATCATTTTCAATTTTTAAAGTCAATAAAACTGAGATGTGATACTTTATTACTTTAAAAACTCACTTTATTCTCTAAAAATAATCTGGAAAAAATTATTACATTATCAAATATATACACTGGTAGTAGACCAGTTATACATCAAAACAGAAATCTGACACATTTTCAAAATTGGAGAATGCAAAACTCTTTTCAATTACTCAAGGAATAAATTAAATGTAACTTTTTTTTAAAAGATTTTATTTATTTTTAGAGAGGAAAGGGAGGGAGAAAGAGAAAGAAACATCAATGTGGGGTTGCTGGGGGCCGTGGCCTGCAACCCAGGCATGTGCCCTGACTGGGAATCGAACCTACAACACTTTGGTTTGCAGCCCATGCTTAATCCACTGAGCTATGCCAGCCAGGGCTAAATGTAACTCTTTTACTATAAATAGTTTCAAAATAGAGCCATGAAAATTTCATTTAGACATCCTCTCCAAAGTTTTATAACTTGCCCTAGATACCTAAGTCTCTGCCTTTTTTAGACTCAACACTACAACAGAGAAAAATGTGCCAAATATACATTCTAACGAAAAGATTAAATCACCTGTTATATAACATCATCAAAATTTTTAGACTTCAATTACATGCAATCAACAAATATGAGGGTCAAGATGGAGGCATAGGTAGACACACGGCCTCTTCCCACAACCAAAAGAAGGACAACAACAAATTTAAAAACAAAAGACAACCAGAACTGACAGAAAATCAAACTGTATGGAAGTCCAACAACCAAGGAGTTAAAGAAGAAACATTCATCCAGACCAGTAGGAGGAGTGGGGACAGACAGCCAGGGCATAGAGGACTCGAGGCAAGGCAGCAGCTAGAGAACCAGGAAGCCCCACATTTGCATGTGGATAAACCAGGAGGAACAACTGGGGAGTGAGACAGACCTCGCAACCCAGGGCTCCAGCACGGGGAAATAAAGTCACAAACCTCTCACTGAAAACACCTGTGGGGGGTTGAGGCAGCAGCAGGAGAAACTCCCAACCTCACAGGAGAGTTCCTTGGAGAGACCCACAGGGTCCTAAAATGTACACAAACCACACCCACCCAAGAATCGGCACCAGAAGGGCCCAATTTGATTGTGGGTAGTGGGGGAAGTGAGTGAAAGCCAACAGAGAACTGAACAAATGGCACTGTTCCCTCTTGGACCCCTCCCCCACATACAGCACCACAACACAGTGACATGGGTTGCCCGCCCTGGAAAACACCTAAGGTTCCGCCCCTTACTACATAACAGATGTGCGAAGACAAAAAAAAAAAAAAACAACGGCCCAAATGAAAGAACAGATCAAAGTTCCAGGAAAAATACAACTAAGCAATGAAGAGACAGCCAACCTATGAGATACACAATTCAAAACACTAGTAATCAGGATGCTTACAGAATTGGTTGAGTATGGTCACAAAATAGAGGAAAAAGTGAAGGCTATGAAAAGTGAAATAAAGGAAAATGAACCGGAAACCAACAGTGATGGGAAGAAAACCAGGACTAAAATCAACAGTTTGAACTAGAAGGAAGAAATAAACATTCAACCACAACAAAATGAAGAAAAAAGAATTCAAAAAAAATGAGGAGAGGTTTAGGAGTCTCCAAGACAACTTTAAACGTTCCAATATCTGAATCATAGGAATGCCAGAAGGAGAAGAGGAAGAGCAAGAAATTGAAAACTTATTTGAAAACATAATGAAGGAGAACTTCCCCAATCTAGCAAAGGAAATAGACTTCCAGGAAGACTCCCCAGGAGGGGAATGAGGGAAAAGGTACAGGGAATGAGAAGCATAAATGGTAGATACAAAATAGACAGGGGGAGATTAAGAATAGTATAGGAAATGTAGAAGCCAAAGAACATGTATGTACAACCCAGGAACATGAACTAAGGGGGTGTGAAATGTGGGTGGGAGGGGGTATACAGGGCAAAGGGGAATAAAGGGGGTGAAATAGGGCAACTATAATAGCATAATCAATAAAATATATTAAAAAAACAAATATGAAAAGCTCAATTCCCATAATCACTGCCAAATAACAATTTAAAGTGTTTTAATTAGAATGTTAGATAAAAATGTATTTCTGATAAATCCATTAGCACTCCTAACTTTATAAAAAACTTTTAGAGCTTCTATATTTCCTACGGATAAAGATTTTAAATTCATACTATTATTTTTGATATGGATTTGGAACAACATTTGCAGTTCACGAATTTCTTTAAATTACTGTGCAGCTCAGTGATGATGACAATAGCTTGCATCCAATTAAAGGCAAAAGGACAGGCACCCACCATATAGTCAGGTCGACCTCCTCAGATAAGTGCTGCCTGTAATCCAGCTGTGCAAAAAGCGGAAACAGCACTTGTACTCCTCCAATTGAATGCATAGCACTTTGGATGGAATGTGTCAAAACTGCCTTGACGTCCTTATAAAATAGAAGACACCATAAAGATTCCAGTGATTTCTTTTTCAAAACAATTAAAAAGAAAGCCTAACAGGAACAATAAAATGTTATATTGCATGTATGTAACAGAAGCTACCAACTACACATCAATGATACATCCAAATTTACCATTAAAAGTGTTCTTAAAAGATTCTGGCCAGTACCTGGAGCATGAGTGCATGGGGTGAATGAACGAAAATCGAAGGGTTGTCCTTAGGGGATGATTCGAGGCAAAGCTGGGCATCGGTAGCACGTGGATTGTACGTGAATGCAATGGCGTTAGAGAGTTTGCCGTCGTACAATAAAAGTTTGTGATGCTCAGCAAGGAACAGGTCACTTTCTGCTTTGAATTTAAATGTGCCCTAAGAATAAAAAGGAGAACAGTTAAGGCAGAACACCACAAAAAGGAAATCTTGATACAAATCATCAGAGATATAAAAATTTAAGGAGACAGACCACTAGTCACTTTCCTAACACTATCAACTATACACATTTAATTACTTCTGAAGTGGGCTTAATTCATGTTTAAAATATAATGGAAAACACATCAACTTGGCATTAAAATCTTGCATTCAAAAAAAAATGTAAAAGTTAGTGTCTTCCCCACAGAGTATATTGTGTCTCTTTTTTCACTGAATTTTTGTCTTTATTGTTTCTTTACTTAAATTGTGGTAAAAAGGTAATAAAATTTACCATCTTAAATATTTTAAGTGTACGGTACAATAGTGTTAACTATATGTACACTGAACAACAAATCTCTAGACCTTTTACATCTTGCCAAGCTGAAACTCAATACCCACTGAACATCTCATCTCCACCTCCCCCCATTCCCTGGCAACCACATTCTACTTGCTGATTCTACAAGTTGCACTACTTCCTGGAACTCGTTTACGTGGAATCAGAGTATTTGTCTTTTTGTGACTGGCACAATGTGGTCACATGGGTGACCGTGAGATTCACCCATGTTGCTACATGTGACAGATTTCCTTCTTTTTTAAAGCAGAATATAATATTCCATTGTATGTATAAGCCACATTCTCTTTATTCATCTGTCCATGTACAGTTAGGTTGCTTCAACCTCTTAGCCATCATAACTAATGCTGCAGGGAACCTGGGTAGCACAAATATCTCTTCCAGATCCTGCTTTCAATCATTTTGGATATATACACAGACAAGTGCTCAATCGTATGTTAATTTTATATATGTATACTTTATTAACTGTAATTATAAGTAAATCAACTCAAAGTTGATTGTTTAAAGAGCATAGCAAACATTAAATGCCTCCCTAAAACCAAAGCAGACCAACAGCTTAACCTAATTTTCTCAAATTTTCTTGCTTCATGACATTCTTAGCATCTCAGTAATTTTTATAGCACTCTAGACCAAAATAAATATTAAACATTTTTGTTTATTAAGTAGTTTGATCCAAACAACATCAGATTTCAACAATTTAGTAACCATTTGAAAAAACTGTGGTACAAGATGGAAAAAAACATGTTTCCTTCGTTAAATTAATTATTAATGCGATGTATATGCATCTTGTCACTGCACAAATTCTCCAGCTTTGGAATCAGATTTCATACTTCATCCTCATTTCCTGTTTCACACTGATTTTCCCATGGTACTTTTTTTTTATCACCGCAACTATTGAAAACTTAGCTGTGCAAGCCCCAGCTGGTGTGGTTCAGTGGACTGAGTGCCAGCATGCAAACCAAAGGGTCACCAGGTCAGTTCCCAGCCAGGGCACATGCCTGGGTTGTGGGCCTCAAGAGGCAGCCACAAGTCTCTCTCCCTCTCTTTCTCCCTCCCTTCCCCTCTCTCTAAAAACTTGAGCTACTGTCCCACATGTGACAAGTATACTGTATTTCCCTCAAAAAATTAAAGGACCCTCTGGACTCATGTGAATTCCCTGTGGTACCCCTGATTACTCTGACATACAGTCAGTAACCCAGGTAAGTTGCCCCATGCATCACCACCTTCAAATCAAGCTCAACCAGCCCTGCATAAGCAGGGAACAGCACGTAAAGTACCTTGTATCCTAGGCCCAGCTGATAAATAGCAAAAATCTGAGCTGCATTAAGAGCTTCACTAAAAAGGTAAACGGCAGTCATCTGACCACAGAATACCCTATTAGCATCTGCTGTTTCTGAGGAACCCAGGAAACATTTGTCAAAGGTCTGTGAAAGAAAACAGAAGATTTTGTTACAGAAAAAAAAAATCTTCTCCAGAAATAACAATTTATATTGGTATAAATGTTCTGTCCATGCTAAACTATAATCTCAGTAGATGAAAATAGTTCATTTAGCCATTACACTTCTCCCATTCTCATGTGTTGTAGTGATCAGGAAAGACATCACAGAAAAGAAAAAACAAAACTTGACAAAAAAGTACATGTAGGAAGCAGAATCAAAGAAATCATTATGGACCCTAAAGGTTCACAACTGGATAACCCAAGAAACAGACGGAAGAGCAGGCTTTGGAGCCAGGAGGAAAACCCTCAGTCTGGAGCGTAATGAATCAGCCTTTGCTGTGAGCTCACGTGGACGGAGAAGCCACTACCAACAGGTCCCATAAGTTTGGTGAGAAGTTCAAACTGCAAAGACAGATCTTTTTTTGCACTAAATAATTGTGGCTTTTTATTATTTTTTTAACAAAACCCAAAGCTTGCACCACATTAGTGTTCTAACACAAGAAAAATTCCAAGATTTTCCTTGAGGGGAGGCTAATTCATATATAGGATATTGATTTTATGTATATTCTTAATATTAAATAAAATTGTAAAGACAGAATTTTACAGACATCAAGTATAGATGATGAGTAAGTCATGAGAGTAGTTGCAATCCCTCAAAAGCAATGTATAAATCCAGAAAAGCAGTTGTAAGTTATTCTCCTAACATAAGAAAAAAATTCTTTTAACAACATCCAGGTTGCAAAGATCACATTTTAATATCCCATGTGTATAATGAGGAGGGAAAGAAGTTCTTCATACCTCTTTGAAAGTGTCATTTTATACCTAGAAACCATTAGAAAGGATGTTGAACATATATATTGATATTAGGGAACACTGAGAAGTATTAACACTTGGGTTCTAAAGACAAACCACTAGGTCAAGTCAGTGTATCACAAGCTGCTGACCTCGGGGAGTTACTTAGCCTCTCAGTCTCATCTGTAAAGTGAAGGTTACAATAGCACTTATCTCGCAAGGTTAGGACTCTCAGAAAACAAAGGTATTATTACAATGCCTGAAATACAAGAAGCACTGAATAAAGGTTAATTAAAGGAAAAAAACAGATTACAAAACAAAATAACGAGAACAGTTATTGAGCAGTCTGCTAGTGGATTTTTTAACAGTATCTCATTTACTCATCACATTAACCTTCTGAGACAGGTATTGTTTTATACCCATTTTTAGGTAAAGAAAATTTAAGCCTAATAGATTAAGTAAGGTCATACAGTCATTAAGTGACAGATATTCAAAGAGCTGACATCCAAACCCCAATCTATCTGCTACAACAACCTGAGCTCCTAAGACCAGCATTACACAGGGTGCAAATGCATACAGCAAAGCATGTACATAGAAGGAGTTAACAGTGAATGGGTGATTCGGTTTGCATTCATTTCCCTGATGTGTGTTTTTTAAGCTTTCTCTTGAAAATATAACTGGGGGGTGGGGGGGGGAGAATAATTTAATTCTAATCTATGGATCTCTTTTTGAATCCTGAAAACGTAACATAAATTATCTATAAGTTACAAATTATATGAAAAATTTGTAAGCATGCATCACCTTAACTCATTCATAAAAATTATCAAAACTCTTTAGTCGACCTCACAAGTTCAATTTGATCAATGGACCAATGACACACTTCCAAGATAAACCCACTGTTACCTATAAATCCTTATTGCTACCCTATCCAGATTAATTTTGTAAAAAAGGACAGAGTAATAGCCATGTGACATATTAACACAATTCTATTCTATTCACATATTAACATGCTAGACAAACTACGATTATGAAACACACCATTGTGGTACTCAAATATATATTCAGTGTAAAATATCTTTTCTTATTTGAAAAGTTCATGCTTTTAAAATAGTTTTTCACTTTAACATTTTCAAAGTACTTACATCGCTGGTGTTGACAAACCACGTTATCTCTCCATAGGAAGCCAGCTCACCATTCACATAACACCGAAGCTCACTGTTCTTCCACCGGTTATAAATGTGCACTATGGTTACCATGTACCACTGGATACGTGAGAACAGTTAAGGAGGGAGAGAGAGGGAGGAGAGTGACCCTTCTAATAACTCAACTACATTGATAAAACAAGTAAAAATTAATAAATCACAATTAAAAATAAAATGGTTTACTTGATTCAATTCAATATTCAACCTCTGGAACAATACATATTGAAGGGAGCTCTCAACAGGTAAAAACTTAATCATGAAGTCATTTTCCAATGTTTTATTATAGAAATTTTCAAACAAACCACAAAAAAGTTTCAAGTTTAGTACAAACACCCTCTTTCACACCACCTAGATTCCACAACTGTCAACATTTTGTCGTATTTGTTTTATCTATCTACACACCCACCTATCTACATGGGTATATATACACAGTTTGTTGATCAACCATTAATTAATCTATAAGTTTAAAGTAAAAAAGAAAATACATTTACTACTAGTAGTAATCATACTAAAATAACTGCCATTGATATTTTCACCTGGCATTTCTCCTGAACTCTAAGTAAATACGCACTTTCTTTCTTTCCATTGCCCACATCAGAGAGGTGAACCATCGTCCAGGGATTTACACTGCATTTTCTGGAGCAGTGTAAACAGAGTTGTGAGTTACCCCAGATCATGTCAATAACACTAAAATGACGCATCTTGAAAGCTAGCATAGCTTATGAGCATACTGTAACTCAGTAAGATCACATACCTTTTGTGGCTTGAAATCAAATTTCACACAATGTTGAAAGCCTTTTCCTTTAGACTTTATTGAGGTTATAATCAAACAGCCCCCGACAAAGTGAGCAGAATAACCAAGACCTTTGCTGGTTCTGAAACTATAGAGAATAGGTTTCATTTTACCTCTAAATATTCTTCTCATTTTCAAAGTAAGATGATAACACTAAGGAACAGAAATACACACCAATACAAATATGGTTTATCCTTGTCCACATTGATGTTATTTACAGGATCCATTCTGAGCCAGGTGTGAAATGTAAAACCATTCTGGTATGGCCACTTGGCTATGGGAGGTAGAGCAATAGCCTGAAGGAAGAAACTTCAAGTTACTGACACATGTGAAAAACTTTACTACTGAAGTCGTGAAAATGAGATTTCACAAGGCTTCATATGATTCTACATCATGATTAAAATACCTAGAAGTCAATTAAAAGATCTCAATTAAAAGAGGCAGGTAGTGATATCAAATTGGAACTGTTGTTAAAATGTTAAGGTAATAGAATGGAGAAAGATGGACAAAAAGGGAAAGAAAAAAAGCTTAGAATATATTTTTAACAGCAAATATAAAAAGTTGAAGGGAATTAGTTCATAAACATTTTTTGCAACATTTTTAAACTGTATTCAAAAGTTACTATATAAACGACTCTACCATTTGATTTAAATTTTTATTTAAAAGGTCTTAATAATGCAAGGGACCCAGAATAGCCAAAACAATCTTGACAAGGAAGAAGAAAGCCAGAGGACTCAAACCGCCAAGTTCAAAGCCTGCCACACAAGCTTCCACGGCAAAGACTGTGTGGTGACGGCGTAAGGATGGACACCGAGATCAACAGAACAGAACTGAGAGCCCAGAAGTAAGCCTCATACGTGGTCAACTGATTTTCAACAAGACAAATCAATAAGAATAGTTTCTTAAACAAATGTGCTGGGATAACTTCATATCTACAAGCAAAGTATGAAGTTGACCAATACTCTCATAAAAAAAAAAATACAGGGTAAATCTCCATGATACTGGGTTAGGCAAATTCTTCTTAATCATGCCACCAAAAGCACAAGCAATAAAGTAGGAAATATATGAACTGGACTTCATCAAAACTAAAAACTTTTGTACTTTAAAAGATACCATCAAGAAAGTAAAAGGACAAGACAAATTAACAAAGAAAACTATTTGCACATCACGTATCTGATAAAGAACACACACCTGAATATAGCATAAAAACTCTCACATTTCAATAACAAAAAGACAAGTGAAATTTTAAAATGGACAAAAGATCTGTAGGCATGTCTCCAAAGAAGATATGCAAATTGCCAATAAAGACATATTAAGATGTTCAATATCATTAGCCATTAAGAAAATGCAAATCAAAACCACAATAAGATACGAGTTCACGTCCACTATGATGGCTATAATAAAAAAGACAGACATTAACAAGTGTTGACAAGCACGTGAATAAATTGGAACCCTCCTAAATTGCTGCTGGGATTGTAAAATGAGCTTGCCACTTTGGAAAACAATCTGGAAGTTCCTCAAATGGTTAAATATACACAACGTGATGCAGCAATTCCACTCCTAGGTACACGCACAAAAGAAATAAAGAGTATGCCCACACAAAACCTCGTACACAAAAGCCCATTGCTGAGTTTCCAAAAAAGTGAAATAAACTCAAAGGTCCTCCAATTAATGAGTGACTGAACAAAATGTGTTATATTCTTACATTAGAATATTAGTCACAGAAAGGAATGAGGCACTGTTACATGCTACAACACAGATGGACCCTGAAAACAGTAACCTAAGTGAAAAGAAAAACAAATTACAAAAATATTGTATGATTCCATCTGTATGAACTGTCCAGAATAGAAAAATCCATAGAGACAGAAAGTAGAGTAGTAGGTGCCTAGCCCCGGGAGTCTGGGAGAAAATGGGCAGTGACTGTTTATAAGTACAGGTTTTCTTTGGGGAATGAAGAAATGGCCCAAAATCAACTATAATGATGGGTGCACAACTCTGTGAGCCCACCAAACCATTTAACTGGGCACTTCAAATCAGTGAATTATATAGTATGTCAATTACAGCTCAATAAAACTATTTTAAAAAGATCATACCACACTAGCTTTTGTGTTTATCACATAGATAAGATATATATCATATACATACATACTCTTTTACATGTATAAGACATTTCATAAAACATGAAAACATGACAGAGCCAAATTTATGTAATAATACTATTGAGATTTCAAGAAGCTGATTTAAAATGAATGTTGCGCCCTGGCTGGCGTAGCTCAGTGGATTGAGCATGGGCTGGGAACCAAAGTGTCCCAGGTTCAATTCCCAGCCAGGGTACATTCCTGGGTTGCAGGCCATAACCCCCAGCAACCACACACTGATGTCTCTCTCTCTCCCTCTCTCTCTCTCTCTCTCTCCCCTTCCCTCTCTAAAATAAATAAATAAAATCTTAAAAAAAAGAAAAGAAAAAAGTATGTAAAAAAAAAGAAAGAAAATAAAATGAATGTTGCAATAAGAAAAAAATAAAAGAATACATATTCAGTGTGTATCTATGTTCTCACAAAAAAAAAAAGTGGGGGGGGAGTATAAGATGTGAAAGTTTTGTAAAAACAATTTATCTGTGAATACTTTAGCTTCCCCTTTTTTAATATTTTTATTTACTTATTCATTTATTTTTTAGAGAGGAGGGAGAGAAAAACATCAGCAGGTTGCCTCTCGCACACCCCCAACTGGGGACCTGGCCCGCGACCCAGGCCTGTGCCCTGACCAGGAAATTAAACTGGTGACCTTTAGGCTCGCAGGCTGGTGCTCAATCCACAGGACCATATCAGCTACAGCATTAACTTCCCTTTAAAAGCTCTGTTTAAGGAAAGAGATGAGTAACCGAATACATTTAAAACATCTATTTTCACCTTGGCCAGGTGGCTCAGTTGGTTAGAGAGTCATCCCATAAACCAAAAGGCTGCAGGTTCAATTCTCAGTCAGAGCACATGCCTAGGTTATGGGTTCGATCCCCAGTCAAGGCACATACATCAATGCCAACAAGCCAATACATCAATGTTTCTCTCTCCTCCCACCCCTTCCCTCTTCTCTCTCTAAAAATCCATGAATATATCCTTAGGTATTGATTAACAAGAAAATCTACTGTCTGTAAATTCCAGTAACTTTTTAGGTTAACTGCTCAACTTTCACGATACATGCAAGGAAATGGAATGGACATGTTATAGTCTCAGAATTATAAATAATAAAATTACAACATGCATTAAAAAAGGTTAATCTCATGGGTACACATTTTTTATATTCAGAAAAAAATTATAAGTTCAATGCCAACAGAGTCAAAGTATTCTGGAAAATTCAAATCTTAAATGCTTATTAAGGAACTATAAAGAAAAAACCATATGAGCAATAAAAATTTCCAAAGAAAGCTGTGTATTGTATATAAAACATTCAAATGTTACTCTCTGAAAATGCTTTCTGTAGAATCTAACAAGTAAAATACTGAGAGAACCAAAGTAAAAAATAAATAAAACCTCAGAAAAAGAACAGGTAGAAACATTTAAAAAAATGTTTGCTTATAATAGGCAGAGCAACATAATGAGGTTAAAAAGAAAAGCTTCCATAAATAACATATATTACATAATATATCCTATAATATTCTGAGACATTACAGATGTTATTAGCATACATAATTATCTTATTTATAAACTTATCAATGGCTTGTGAGAATGCTGAGACTGATACAATATGGAAACTCAGAAGTCAGGAAAACTTGGCTAGAAAGTTTCAAAGAGTTACTCTTATTCTACACATCAGATGTAAAAGAAACAGAAACAGAGAACTGAAACACTAAAGATAAAAGTGAACGTGTTACAAAGAAGTCTCTGAAACACAGGAAGAAATCTGTAAGACACCACGACTACCTTGAAAAGAATTGGACTCTTATTCCATTGCTGCCCCAAGATGTGAGTTGGCAGCTTTCCTAAGTTTTTGAGCCTCTATTTCTTCACCTCTAAAACGGCTAGTAAAAGTAACATACACAATTGCTGTGAGGATTTAAGGTGGTGCAAAGAATTTTCTACCTAATACGGAACCTGTCAGAAGTGGTTACAGGGCGGTACTTTGAGGGAACTCCCAGTAATCCCCCCAGATCTACTTACGGCAGCACTCTTCCCCGGAAAGTTGAAGAAGGCATCAGGCCCGTACTTCTGAGGCACGTGCTTTAACACGGACAGCAACTTCCCGGCGTGTGGAGGCTACGAAAATAATCAATTCATTCACCATATGATTCACCATAAAACAAAACTACCTATCTTTCCTATCATCAGACTTTGATGTACCCAAGAATAACCAAATAATCCTATAAGCTAAAATGTATAAACTAACTACAGAAAGGTTATTTTCAACTATCTTAAAAAATGAGCAATACTCTACAACATTTTTTTTGAAATGCTGTAAGTTTGAGGTGTTCAGTAAATATGATCCGATGCCATGTGACACTTGAAACTCTTCACACTGTAGCAAAGATCATCTTTTACCCTTACAAAGGAAATCAACCCACCACCCATCCCTCTTTAAAACACTGTTTTCATCGATAAATAATGTCTACTATGTTCCACCTTTAAAGGCACTTTTAAAATAAAATATAACAACCTCATATCCACACTAGGAATTATTAGTCCACTTTACAAAGAAGGAATCTGAGGCAGAGGAATGTGTCCAAGGTCACACAGGTGACAAGTGTGGGATCAAAACTCAGTCTGACTCCAGATCCGTGCTTTTAACCATGACACTTTCGCCTCAATACTATCTCTTCCGTGTAGCTTCCTACTGCCTTTAAAACAAAGACCAAAACCCCAGGCATAGCCCGCAAGATACTCTGCCTACAATACCTCTCCCTACCTCATTAGCCCCATCTTGCACCTCTGTCTCCCAGTGTCTGCACTCCGTCCACAATGCCTTCTCTGATCACAAGCTGTTCCTTGTGCTAGAAACGTTCTCACTACTCCTACTTCCTGTCCCTGTAACTAAGCGAATCTTGCCCAACCTTCAGAGCTCATCTTAGTGCTCACTTCCTCAGGGCAGACTTCCCTGACCTCTGAGACTGGATCAAATGGACCTATCGTATTTCATTCTACAATATACCTCTATTATACAGCATGTTATAAAAGTTGTAACATTGCATTCATTTGATGAATGTCTCTTTGACTCACAATCTCCACTAATACATTAAACAACCAACAGCTAAAAAGAAATTCATCTACATTTACAAGGAAGAGCAAACAATCAGATATATGTTATTTTAATCACTTTAGCAGCAAATAAGACAAAGTATAATGCAGTCCTCTTTGTTTAAAAGTTCAAAACCATGTTTAACCTCAAGTGAAGTCACTGGCTTCCCTGCATCTTACTTGGTAGCTGCTCTAAGTCATTACTAACTGTCCAAAAGATTGGGAACCTTCACTTTTAAGTGATCGAGAAATTTTCAATTAATCGCACTGCTTATCACAAAAATGTAATAACAAGTAACTACAATCACACTGATTTTTTTAACAGACTCCAAAACGAAATAACGAAAAATACCTCTGCATCTAAAATAAAAATACAGTGTTTAGCAACTGTTTAGAGAAATCATTCCTCAAAATTCCCTTGCCTATGAACCAGTCAACAAAAACAATGAGATAAGCACACGCCTCCAAAGATGGTGCCAATGCACTGTGCACTGGGACAGCCTTTCAGACCGTCCTTTAGTGTTCCTGTTTCAAGAGTTTTTTTAAATGTTCATGCCCACTGATACACTATTTCTGTGTGTAAAGACATTAATGCAACTATTAAAATATGCTACATATTCCCAAAGATTAAAAGGAAAACATGTATGAACATAACAAGGTGAAATGAAATATTAAAAAGAACCAAATTTATGGTAAATATCTGAAATCTAAAATTTACAGAAATCATAAATAATCTGAAATTTTTTAAAGCATGGAATAAACACAGTGCAGAAGATTAGTTCTCTTAAAAATATAGCAATGAAAGCACTCCAAAGTGAAGGATAAAGAGAAAAGACTGGGGAGAGAGGTGAGCAGATCTCGGTGACTCTGGGACACCGTCAAGAGGGTTGCATGTAACTGGAGCACCAAAAGGAGGGGGAAGGGGCAGAAAAATGTGAAAAATGACCAAAATATTTCCCAATTTGATGACAATTATATTGTAACCCACAGATTCAAGAACTTGAACCAGGATAAGCACAAAGAAACCATATGAAGAAACAAAAATTGCTGAAAATCAGTGACAAAATCTTGAAAGTAGCCAGAGAACCAGAGTTTGATACTAACAGCAAGGTAAAGAGTCTAACCATTTTAACACAATAAATAAATGTAAGTATAGAGCACAAATTTAAATATACTTAAACAAAGCTAGATTAAGGATTAGCTAGTTGAGTAACTGTTGTGGACAACCTCTAGAAGGCACTAAAATAAGCCTAGAAATGCAACAAAAAAGGAAAAGATATTGGCCAGTATTCCTCAAAGAAACAACATGTTGACCACCCCTATCGCCCAAAGCGAAGACCACTGAATCGCATCTGAGGAGGTGGATCCAACGCCCTGCAGAGCCTGTGTGCACCGTGTGGGTTACTCAAACGCGAGCGCACTCGTTCACAGGTAAGGGCGACAAGTAAACTACTCGGATCATCAGAAAGAGAAGCCATGTACTGCCACCTAATACTTTTGCTTTTCTGTCCCCACCCTTTTCCTCAGAAAGTGCCCAATGTAAAGTGAAGAGTGACAGTTTGAAGGAAGACCAAATTACCACCCAGAACACCCAGTTCTCCTGGTCCACACTTGTGTCAGGTCACAGCAGGAGTATCCATGTGGATCTACACACTATCTTAGTTGATCTCTTCCCTCAATTTGACATCTGACCGCTCTGTACACTTTGAAAGAAAAAAAGAGTATTTAGGTTTGTTTTTTACCCATTGTCCTTTATCTCCTTGAAGTTTACTGAAGAACAGCTTTAGTTCTCGAACTGTCAAATTATAGCTAGCCAGCACTCCCAACATGTCAACTAAAAGATCTGAAAACAAAGAAAACAGTATTTAAAATACTTATATTTTTGAACGATTAAAATATACCGTGCTTAAGAGCTCAGACACTCAAGTTCCTAGTACATGTCAGAAGCTCAAATATTTCTCCAATAAATAGTACTAAATAAGAAAAAGACAGTGTTCAAGAATCACACTCTACGTCTTCACATCCACTGTACCACAGAAAAAGTCATACCTGCTATCATGCTGCCGACGGTTTCGATTTTCCCAAGCACTTTCTCGACGAGGCTAACCTCGGTGCAGACTTGAAGATTCCGTATGCTCTTCTTCAGAATGGCTGTAAACATGCTCCAAACTTCCGCTTGGCAAGTGGTGTCACATTTTTCCAGTAGGTCCACCATGCAGATGATACTCTCACCTTCTTGGATAATGAAGTTCATCTCCAAGTCAAACTGGCCTCCTACCAACTTCCAAAAAAAAAAATCACACACATTAGTACTTCTTCACTCAATGTAACTCAAGCATGCTCCTAAGCTTTAGATTAGCAATAACTACCTGTGCATGCTTCTCTACCTTCTATAACATGAAAAGGATCTTTATTTAAAAAACAAACAACAATAAAAAAACCACAGCTCTAAAAATCTCCAAACAATCTTCAAGGTAGCACAAAGTTAAGCAAGACTTAGAATATAGAAATGGAAATATTTTTCAACAAAAACAAACACAGAATGTCTAAGTAAATCACTACCTATAGCCCTGCTATGAATAAAGATCTAACTTAGCTCTGCAACTGCTTCTAATTCAGTATTTCGTTTAAAGTGAAAACCTAAAAATGGCTCAGAGCGAACACAAAACTTGGAGTTCATCTTTGACAAATTCCTGGTTCACAATACCTATGCATTTTGACCCCTCTCCTTCCCTACCAATAATCAGGATAACTTTTAGTCACATACCCAAAGCCAGTAATCAAGGGGACTTATTTCACTGATACGACTATCAGAAAATCCATCCAGAGAAAGCTGTACTGACCTGCTCAGTCCCACCTTGCCATCTCATTCGCAGCAGCCTCTCACAGACAGAGACTTTTAAAATTTTAACAAATCCCTACTGTTTAAAAGACTTAAAACGCTTTTACAATTACTTTTGCAGAGCTATCCTTTTAAACTAGATTTCCAAAAGATCGCCAATACTCTTATCCTTCTAAACACTTCTTCATGATGTGTTCCTAAACCCAAAAAGTGGGCAAGAATTCAGAGAAAGTCCACTTTACAAAACAAAATACAACAGCTCATAAAACAGTAACGGACATAACCAAACAGAGTTTACTCCAGAAAAGCTAGGAAGGTTCAGAATTGGGAAATCAATTGCAACTCCTGGCAGCCAGGGATCAACATGTGTCTCAGGTTCTGCCAAAGATACACACTGGCACGAGACAGAAACCCCAGAAAAATGAACAACGTAAGGCAGTGTCTGCATGCAGGGAGATCAGAATTCCTGGCAAGCGTAGGGGTAAAGGCATTTGGTTCTTCTAGGAAAGCTCTGGCAGAGACTTCAGTGTACAATTCTTGCATCATCAGTAACAAGCAGCATAAGGAGAGGACAGCTGGGTTTCTGCTAAGAGAGTCCCATGGTGTGATAGGGCCAATTCTGCTAGCTGCACTGTTCTGGCTATGTGATTCCCTAGGCCACCCAAAATTCTGTAAGCTACGTAAGAACACTAATACAGGCTTATTTTTGTTTTGTGAAGATATTCGCTTGCTTTGTCTTTTTTTACCCTGAAATAATTTCAAAGGTTCCAAAAGTTGCAAAGCAGTACAGTTCCTGTATAACCTTGACCCAGCTTGCCCTAACATGCATATATTTTATAATCATACTGCCATCATTAGAACCAGGAAATAAATGTTGATACAATACCATGAACACATCTATAGAGACTACCAAATGTTGCCACCTGTCACACTAATGTCCTTTTTCTGACCCCGGATCAGCACCCTGCGGTATTCTCCAAACTAAGACAGCTGCACAGGCATTCTCGACTTCGTGATTTGGAACAGAGGTGTATTTGCCAGGTACTTGATGGACCGTCTTCCAATCTGAATGTTTCCTTCATGGTTAAGTTCAGGTTACGTATTTTTTAGTTAAAAAAAAAATAATTCCCTAGAAGTGGTGTGTGTCCTTCTCAGTGTATCATTTCAGAAGGTACCTGACATCAGTATGTCTCAACGTTTGCTGACATTAGCTTGGATTAACCTGTTTAAGGGGGTGACTGTCAGACTTTTTCCACTTTAAAGTTAGTATCTTTCATTAAAAAACAATTTAAGCATCTTGGGGAGAATCCTTTCAGACTATACAAATATTTTGTTTCGTATCATATTTTTAAGAATCCACTGATGAATCTTACCTGTAACTGTTATTACCGTAGCATTGCTAAATGGTGATTTTACATTTCCATCATCCTTCCTAAATTTATTAATAGAAAAAACCTTCTTCAATAACAAAATATGTCAATCACACCTGAAAAGCCTGCATCATGCTAACATAGGAAAACTGAAGTAATTCTCATGAAAATTAGAAACAAGACTAGGATCCAGTACCTTCACTATCATTCGATATTATTCTAGAGATACAGAAGTCACATTTAGTCAAAAGGCAGCAACATGTATACACATGAGTGGAGAGATTAAAATTACAATTGTTTTCAGATGATATAATCTATGTCTGAAAAAACAAAGAGCTTCGACTGAAAAATTACTATGTTATAGAAAAGTATTTGGTTAACAATATGAACCAATCTCAAAAGATATATCTGTAGAGCATTTAGGTAATGATGTTAGATATAAAAACTTCACTGTAGCATTTTTGAGTAGAAAATACATAAAACAACCCCCCAAAGAAAACGCTGTAAGGCAATGGTGAGTCAAGTCGTGTAAAACTACATAATGGAATATAACACAACCATTGAAAAGAATGAGGCAGCTTTATATGTCATTTGACATATAAAGATCTCTAAAATACATTAAGTGAAAAAAAGCCAAGTGGAAAAGCATGAATAGTAGGCTACAATTTAAAGGTAAAACATAGACATATACCTAAGAATTATACACAAGAAACTAAATAGTAACTGCCTCTGAAAAGATAACTTTGGGGGAAGAGGGCAAAGGGCGAGTTTTTCTGTATACACTTTGGGACATCCTCCACAGAGATCTAAATAGGTCGAAACCTGCCTGTGACCTGGCTGGTGTGACTCAGTGGACTGAGTGCCAGCCAGTGAACTGAAAGGCTGGCTGCCAGTTCAATTTCCTGGGCGAGGCACATGCCAGAGTTGTGGGCCAGGTGCCCAGTTTGGGGTGTGGGAGAGGCGACCGATCAATGTTTCTCTCACAACAATTCTGTTTCTCTCCCTCCCGTCCCCTCTCTAGAAATGAATAAATAAAATCTCAAAAAAAAAAAAAAAACCTAGTTGCAGCTAACTAAGAGACCTTAGCCTCACCTTAATATTACTTATCAATCTTTCATCTTGATCTGTTTATTACTATCAGTAACCACCCTTCCAAGAAGCTATAGAATTAATTTTTAAAAGTAATTTCAAAGAAAAAACAAATATTTCACCAGCTTTTAAATTGAGTTTATATTGTGAAAGCAGTATCCAGACAGGTGTTTTAAATATTCCTCTATTGCTTTAAATGTTATAAAATATGCCTTTCAAGGAGAGAACTGATGGCAGAAGCAGCTACATACAGACGTGTGGCGTATTTGATATACTGTATGTATGCATATGTATTACACCTGAAAACCACACACAGGGTCTGGAGCATGTCGTGTTAACCCTTTCTAATGGTTATTCGAAACTGATCAACCTTCGAAACACAAATTTCTTTCCAATGACAGGGATCATAATCTAAGTCCAGGCATTGGCTAGTTATTATCTGAGCTGCAGTAATGGCTCCGCACTACAAAATGTAATCTTCCCAAATGTCACAGTAAGTTATGAATATCTGAGCAAGTCTAATGCACTTTACTAGCCATGAAATGTGAAAATGTAATCTTATTACTTTTTTATGGTTGTATTTTTTTTGAATAATGTAGCCTGAAAACTGATGTATAGTCTTTTTCTGCATTTTAGCATGATTTGATCTCCTTTGCTACATAGAACATTTTTCAAAACTCTCTATTTCAACATGTTTTAGTCTTGGCCTGAACTTCATAAACAATTTTTATAGCAACCTTCAGGGTGGCATAGCATGCTTTCTACAGATTGCAGTTTAATGTACAAGATTATAGAAATTCTAAAGCATATTATTCAAAGAATTAAAATAAACCTTCACAAGTTTTGTATTAGAACTTAAATTGGGCATGATGATTATTTTTTCAATGGTTATATTAATAAAGTGGTTTGAGCTGAAATTAGTAATTAAACCTAAGTCACTTGTCATTTCGGAAAATCGAGAAACACAAATAGAACAAAAATAACCTTCTCTTCAAAAGATTTATAAAACTGAAAAGACTGCAAACATAGAAAATTCTCATACTTCAAAGTGAAGCAATGTTTTCCATGGAAACTTGTTAAATTCTTCCTCAAAGATGTGACAGAGATAAGGTGTAACAGAAAAACTGGACAAAGTACATTAACAGCTTATGCTCCTAACTAGATACTCTCAGTGTCTTGTGACAGACCACTTTTTTCTCTGGATCTATCCACTCCTTTTGTAAAATGAACTAAAATAAGCTTCTTTTATTTACCTGCATCCTTTAAAAATGTAATTACTTTTTCAAAGTGCCAATGTCAAGGTATCCAATTTATCCCAATGAATCCATTCCTTAGTGCAAGTGACCCTATACACATTGGCAGTCACTAGAAGCTTATCAATAGGGAGAAGTCGAGGAAAAATTGCAATGCTGTGTCATGGACTATAATGACTCCCAATTGACATTTGCTTCTTCTTCCATAATAATTAAGAGTTACTAATTTGGTACGTGGGGTCCAGAAAAAAGATCTCACTTCCCAGCTCTCCCTCAAGTTTCCAGCCATGTGACCGAGTTCTGACCAAGGAGGACAGCAATATGTGCTACTTGTGGGTATGACTTCTCTTCGCAACTCTTCTTCTTCCTCTAACATACGATGCTGACATAATGGCAAGAGTCAGAGAGCCGCCTAGGAATCCATGCTGCAACTCTCCCATCAAAGACAACAGGGCGGAAAGGTCTAGAGATCCTGATGACTACAAACTGTCTCAGCAGCCCAGGACCACGAAACCAGCAGACTGTCACCTGAAGGACAAATACACCTCTGCCTTGTTTAGGCCACTGTCGTTTGGGGCCTCTCTATCGCATCCGCCTGACATAGATGCTAATGCTATTAGTTGCATTTTCTCAGGAATTGAAAATATATCTATATTTATAACTTTATCAAATGACATTTCCCCACCCCCACCTCTCATACCACAGCAGATGTTAGCTCCCCACCAGT